GTCCCCCTCCCCTATTTTTATGTCCCGCGCTGTGACACCCTTATTCTCCACTATATCACCGCCAAAACCCCATTCCTCTTTCCTATTTCTCTGCATAATTAGCTAGCTTTATACCTTATTCACCCTTTCTCTCCCACTCCTCCTCACTCCCACTTTGCTGCACCTCATTCTCCTCCTTCTCCAGTCCCTATTTTCTGCACCCACCATGGCTGATGGGTCTTCATCCAGAGTGCCCAGAAGGGGCAAAGAGCCAGTGAGGAAGTGTCCTGCTCCCGAATTGAGCGCCCTCCACAACCTCCCTTATCCCAGCTGCTCACCTTCAACGCCCCTGCTCACCTCACCAGGTATGACAAACTAAAAAATAGGGTTTGGGGCCAGAGCAAATTCATTGATTGGGATATGTTACATCACTATAATTTGTTTGAGGAAGTGAGGCATTGGGAGAATCTGTTTTCTATTATTAAGCCTACATATAGAGAACTCACATTAGAATTTCTCACCACTCTAGTTGTTGAAAAGAAATTTTCTGGTTAGGATTCTGAAGGCTCTATCCAATTTCGGATGATGCAAAACATGTACAAGATGAGTTACTCTGATTTTTTTGTCCAAATGGGGCTTTATACCTATGATTTTGTACTCACTAAAGAGTACTAACAACTAGCCCATATTCCCCTTTTGGGTTGCTCCAATAAAGACTTTTGGAAGAGGATTAATGCTATTGATAAGGATTGGAATCCTACTCGGTCCAAGGCCTCCACATTGAAGAAACCAGCTTAGAGATATGTACATGCTCTGTTAGCCGAGAAAGGTCACAGTTTTGGGGTTGTGGGTACAAAGGACCTAGAATACTTGCGTAGCATGATTGATAAGATCCCCATCCACCTTGGTATCTACTTAGCAAAGTTTCTTTTCTCCCAAGCCAATGATGATCGGGTGGGGAGTATTTGTGCAGTCCCATATGTCACTCCCTTAGCTAAGGGATTAGGAATTCTGAGCGATATTTCTGGTTTCACTCTGGTCAATCAAATGGTCCCTATCTTGCACGACACAATGAAGGCCATGCACTTTGAACCCATTCCTGCAGGTACCCACACTGATGCCCAGGATGATCCCTTTGATGAACTCCCATCTCAACCACCTAGGGTAGACAGTCCCCCTGTACCTACTGAAAATCCCAACCCCATTCACCATCAACTGCAGCAGATCATCGCGTCCCAACGATTTTTTAGGAGCAGCCACAGAGACTGTATTCACCGTTTGGCTAGACTAGAATCCACAGTCGAAACTAACTTTGCTGCTCTGTTCAGTCATTTTGGTATCTCAGCACCGACAGTCCTCCATCCAATCCTATCTCCTTCTGACCACTTCCTCAGTACAGATGAAGACTCAGATGATGCTAGTGTAGAAGCTTAGTTTGCAATTAGAATAGTCTTAGCTGTTAGACTCCTTTTACTTATGTTATTGTCAGATTTTAAAACTATTTTTGTTTCTTTATTGCTTTTGTTTCTTTATTACGTTGTTTTGATTGTTCTATTCCTCTTGTCATGTTGAACTGAGTTGAATTTCCCTATAAATTCATTTTGATCAGGTTTCTTCCTCATTTGAATCCTAGATTAGCCTTGAATCCTACCACTCCTTGCTTATTTCTTTCCTTTTCTGGGAAGTTTCAGTTTTCACTTTAATTCTTATATTTGATTGAGGACAATGCAAATCTTACAGTGTGGGGTGGATAATTATAGATGATTAAACTGAATCTTTGTTTTTTCCTCGAGCAATATTGAGTCAGTTTTGCTTTTGCATTAGAGATGATATTCCAGGATACTCTATATAAACAAAATGTTTTGTTGAAAAGAAAATAAATAAATAAAGATCATATGCAGTATTATAGATATTTAAATTGTGTTCGTGATTGTTTCTCAATTGAAGTATCAAAAGACTTTTTTGATCTGAGGACCTTGAATTTATGCCATACCGATGTGGAAAGCAAGGGATGGAATTTCCATTAATACCTTGTGCTAATTGGGATGAAGCATAAGATGCACCCTGTTAGTCGATCATGGCTCAAAGCGAAGAAAATTAAATAACACCTTGTGGAAGAATTTAAGGTTTTGACTGTGATTTTTAAGAACTAATGGCATGAAGGTCCTTATTCAATTCTATCTGAAGTTACAAAGGTTGAGAGCAAAAGTAGGCACAATTTGATGTTCAAGAATTATTATCCCTCCAAAAATTTGAATTTTTTTTATAAAAAATTCAAGAATTTGATTTTTTGTTGTCAAAGGTAAATTTAATCCATTTCTTTGCTTAGGGACAAGCAATCGTTCAAGTTTGGGGGAATTTGATAATTTCATCCAACACTTGGTCTTATAATATATTTCATGAATGATAGTTGAGATTTTTGAGTTATTCATTGAGAGAATTCATTATTTAGTTCATTTTGTTCATATTTCAGGAAAGAAAAGGATCAAGAAGTGAAAGCTTTAAAGGATAGTGAGAATTGAAGCAAAAATCAGAACCAGAGATATACACGGGAAAGTACACGCCCGTATACATGAGCATGTATCTCACTAGTTGCATAAAGCAAGCACATAATCAAGCCAGAGATATACACGGCCAATGTACATGGGCGTGTACATTTCAAGGAAGCTGTGAAGCGCAAATGTTAGAGACTAGAGATGTACACGGCCAAAGTACAAGGGCGTGTACTTTTAACATGCATCAGAATTTAAACTTCTACAAAAAGATGAACCCTGAGACCACTCATATAAAATGCAACCTGGCACAGAAACCTGAGACGCTGTTTTCGGGAAAGACAGAGTCAGTGACGGCTGGAGAATGGAACCAAGCTCTTTAATCTCTCTCTTTTGCAATTGTAGTTTTGGGATGTTTAGGTTCTAATTTTCCTTTGAGTATCTAAATGTAATGAATCCTAATTGACCAAACCTTCTGAAATTCTTCTTAATGTTATTTTATGTTCTCTTCTCTTAAGTTTAATTGAGTAGTATTAATTGTCTCCTATCTTATTTTCTTATTGATTTTGCGTAAAAATCCTGCATGAATTTATCATTGCTCAATTAAAGGACTTGAATGTATTTCTAGAGATAGAAAGGCATGAGTTTTCTTAAGGAAGAGATTTTGATTAATAAACCAATGGTTAGGAACCATTATCCTTGATAAAAGGGGGCTAGAACTAAGTAGTTGAAGGAGAATTCCAGTTATTTGGATAATTAGGAGGATTTACAACCTAGATACTCACTTATTTCTCTTGAATACATTTAGTCATATTTTTCTAGGCTTTATTACCGTAGAAATTTGTTTCTCTTAAATTGTTATTTTCTTAGTTCAACAAATTTATCAACATAATTTCTTACCAATATTCATTAATAATTAGGTAATCAAGGAAGCAATTCTTAGTAATAGTCCATATGGATACGACACTTGGTACTCCAATTTTCGCAATATTACTCTAACAATAGGTGCACTTGCCTAGTGATCAGTTTTTACACACCAAGTTTCTGCAACCACGTTTGCTTTCCCTGGATGGTAGGATAATGTGAAGTCATAGTCTTTCAAGAATTTCATCCACCTTCGTTGTCGCATATTCATCTATTTTTGGTCGAATAGGTACTTCAAATTTTTGTAGTCGCTAAAAACTTCGAATCTTGCCCCAAATAGATAATGTCTCAAAATTTTTAATGCAAAGACCACTGGTGCTACTTCTAAATTATGTGTGGGATAATTGACCTCGTGAGGTCGCAATTGCCTAGATGCATAAGCCACTACTCTCCCATCTTGCATCAAAACACATCCAAGACCTTATCCTGATGCATCACAATATACTTCAAAATTTCATTTGGGATCTGGCAGAATCAACACTGGTTCTGATGTCAGTTTCTCCCTCAACTTTTGGAAACTTTCCTCACATTCTTCATTTCAGTCAAAATCTTTCCCTTTTCGTGTCAGCTTTGTCAAAGGTAAGGCTATCTTAGAAAATCCCTCAGTGAACTTTCTATAATAGCTGGCCAATCCTAAGAAACTTCAAACTTTTGTCGGATTAGTAGGTCTTGACCATTGAGACACCGCTTCAACCTTAGTTGGATCAACCATAATTCCTTCGCGAGATACAACATGTCCCAGAAATTGTATTTGCGATAACCAAAATTCGTATTTTGAAAACTTAGCATATAACTATCTCTCACTCAAAATCTGCAAGACAATCCTCAGATGCTCAACATGTTCCTCATGGCTCTTTGAGTATATTAAATATCATCTATGAATACCATAACAAACTGGTCTAGATATTGATGGAAAATTCAACTCATGTAATCCATGAATACTGCTAGACCATTAGTCACACTGAAAGGCATAACTAAGTACTCATAATGTCTGTAACGAGTTTTGAATGCGACCTTTGGAATATCTTCGTTTTCCACTCAAATTTGATGGTAATCAGATCGCAAATCGATCTTTGAGAATACTGAGGCTCCTCGCAGTTGATTTATCAAGTCATCTATTCTTGGAAGGGGATACTTGTTCTTAATTATTACTTTGTTCAATTGACGGTAGTCCGCGCACATTCTTATACTTCAATCTTTCTTCTTTACTAAGAGCACAGGAGCTCCCCATGGCAATATGCTTGGTCTCACAAATTGTCTCTCCAACAAGTCCTCAACTTGTTTCTTCACTTCAGCTAATTCGATAAGATGCAATGGAGATTGGGCTTACTCCTGGCATAAGGTCAATTGTAAATTCAATCTCTCTTTCTGGTGGCAGTTCAGTTACGTCCTCTGGAAAAACTTCTAAGAGTTCGTTCACTACTGGTATATGCTCTACCTTCATACTCTTTTCTATCTCAGCAGAGAATAATATCACAAAAGCTTTGACATTGACCATGTTCATTAAGTTACCTTCACATAGGAGTCTAGGATCAGTGTTTTCTCTTTACAATCAAGAAAGACATGATTGGACGATAACCAATCCATTCCTAATACAATGTCCAACTAAGAAAAAGGTGGACAAATCAAATCTACTAAGAAATTCCTACCACGAATCATCACAGAACAACCCAAACATTTGTGCGAGGTTATTACAGGCTTATTTGTAGGGGTGGATACTATAACATCATATGGCAAAGCAGAGACAGGAAATTCAAGACAACGCACACAATCCAAGGAAATGAAAAAATGCGTAGCACCAGAATCGAAAAGAGCATCAATGAGTTTGTTTTTCAGGATGCATTTACCTCGGATAAGATCATCAGATTTTGCCGCTTCAGAGCCAGTCATGGCAAACACTTTGCCTTGAACATTGGACTTCGATCCACTACTGCTCTTATGTGTTGGCTTGTTACTCCCACTGACACTTCCGGTCCCTTGGGGTGGAAACCAACAAGCACTAGTCGGATGCCCTGTCTTTCCACAGTGACTACATACGGCAATTGGCGACAGGCAGTTTCTGATCATGTGGGGTCCTTTGCATCGGAAGCATTTCAATGGTTCTCGAGGAATATTGGAGTTATAGCTACCACGTCTACGAGGTACACTCCCGCTCGTCTGAGATTGAGCTGAGCCTGAATAAGGTTGATAAATGCAGATTTTACTAGTATTTTACCTTAGTTTTTAATATATTTCATATGAAAAACATGATGGAGAAAGCTGGAAAACTCATAAAAATAATAGAATGTTCAATTCATTTCTAAATAATTTAATTGTTTAGATTTTGTGAATTTTCTATGAAAAAAGTACTAATTAGAACCTATTTTGTAGGAAACTCTGAGTTGAGATCATAAGGTTGGAGGATCAAGAGACAAAATAAAAGAAAGTAGCAAAAATTGGAATCAAGGAACAAGGTTTGGTGAAGCAAGAGTTGGGCGTTATCACTTTTGTTCACAAAAGTGATTGTTCCAGAAGCTTAATATTGAAGAAAGACCTGTGCGTTATCACTTTTGTTCACAAAAGTGATCGTTCCAGAGAGTTTCCCAGCAAAGCAAAGCAAGCGTAGTCACTTTTGTTTACAAGAGTGAGCGTTCCAGAGAGTTTCCCAGCATAGCAAAGTGCGCGTGATCACTTTTGTTCAAAAAGTGATTATTTCAAAGAAGTCTCTAGCAAAGCAAGCTGCGCATGATCACTATTGCTAACAAAAGTGATCGTTCAAGCTGCACATGACTCTTATTGTTCATGAAAGTGAACACGCGCAAACCATGAACCTCTACGTTGCTACTTTTATGAAAAATAGTGACCACGCTAGAAAGATAGGAAATTCTATAAATAAGAGATTAGCCCAAAAACTTATATCTTTTCTCATTTTTTCATTTCCACACCTTAAGAGAGTTAGAGAGGGAGATTGGGGGCAACTTCCAAGCTCTGGACCTTGAAGAATCAGGCTAGGAATTGGATTTATGAAGAAATTATGCAGCTCCTCTTCTTCTACTCTTTCTCTCTCTTTTTTTTGTGTGAACATGTTCTGATTTCTTTTTCTTATTGATTGATGGATCTAATTTTGATATTGTAAATTGATTGTGGATCTGGATTTTAAGATCTTGATTGTATTGAACGTTTAATTCTTTCTGTAATGCAATTCTTAAATTAGCTATTCATTTGAATTGAACCTAGAAGATTTTTATCAATGGAAGTTAAGTTAATTTCTCATATTTGAATTGAATGTCAAGGTTATGGATATCTTAGGGATAAGAATTTGTGATCTTGTGATCTCTTAATTTCTCATACTTAATGCAATGTTTGATTGATTTACACCTAAGGAATTAGGGTAGTTAACTGAATATTAGGATCATTGAGGCAAGGGATTGTCCTTTGATTAAATAAGTGAAATTGATCATCAATCAATTATGGAACTTAGAGTTCATATCTACTTCAGTTTTGCAATTGATAAAGAGGTAAAATCAGTTCTAACTCCATTTACACATCAATTCATTTCTAAATTTGTCACTCTATTTTGCTGTTATTTTTTTATTTCTACACTTTATTGCTTTTATTTGCAAATGCTCAAAACAGTTCAAAATTTGTTTAGCTTAACTAGTTATTGATTTGTGAAGCGGCAACTGATAGAATTAATCCTTGAGGACAATTACTTACTACAACTACCTAGTACACTTGCTAGGTAGTGTTCTCTCAACTTAGTGACAAAGGTCTCCTCAAAATTCTTAAAGGCCTTCTGTCTTGCCTCATCGGTCCTCCAACTTAACTGTCTACCAACTTTCCTTTTGCATTGGCTTCGTAAACTCAACATTTTCTCACTAGCGTCGACAGGTCCATCACTTGGAATACACTCAACGCAGTGCAGATGTCAGCTCTTAGCCTATTTTCAAATTGGGCACATAGATCTTTTTCACCGCCTTCATGCTGGAAATGGGGCCAATATTTCCTTAGTTCATGAAATTTGGCTGCATATTCTCCTACCGACATCTCCCCTTATTTCAACTCCAGGAATTCTCTCGCCTTCTGTTTCTGCAGATCTCTCGGAAAGTAATTTCCCAGAAAGCAAGTCTCAAATGCTTCCCATGAGATGTGACCCTCTTCTTGAGGTAAGGTTTGGCTGGCGAATCTCCACCAGTCTTCAGCTTCTCCATTCAGCATATAAGTGGTATAGCTCACTTTGTGATCTTCACGGTAGTCCATTGCGTTAAATATCTTCTCTATATCCACGATCCATCTTTGAGCTCCTTCTGGATCAAATTTTCCCTCAAACCTTGGAGGGTTGTGTTTCGTAAAGGACGATAGTGTAGCGTTCTAAATTACTAAAACACTGATACCAACTTTATAATATGATAGTTTAGAAAACACCAAAATCTGGTAATATTTTTATTTTCTTCTTCATACAGTTGACAAGTGTAATTCTCTCTCTCTAAGAGAGAGTTAACATGCATATAAGCTTCTCATCTCGTCATAATATAATCCAATTTCAATAGCATAATAGAACAAGAGTAAACACAATCCAAAATCTGATAATATCTAAATGTATTAAACTTCGATTCAGCGGAATAGTCAAGTACTAGAACAAAGTTAAGAAAGATAAACATTATCCAGATACATCATAACATAACATAATATAAGTAGACCAGACTTCCTAAGAGCAGTTCCCCTAAGACATAAATAAATAAATAGGCATTAATAATAAGGCGAGTAATCCTCAATGGGATCAGACTCCTCAGAAGATGTCAGGGAAGTAGAGCTAGAGGAAGTAGTCGTGCCATGACCTCCATCATTCCAGCTGTGCGAGGAGGTGAACAAGTAGCAGTAGGTGGGACTAAGGTAGATGGGTATGCAGGGTGCATGTAAGATGGCATGGTAGTATACCTAATGAAGGATTCCACCACATGGATATCCCTCTCCATTGGCACGGGTGGAGAAGTAGGGGTCATGAAAGGAAATGGCACAAGCGCTGGAGCTAGCCTAATAGTAGGAGTACGGGGGTCAATAGACATAGGTGTTGGGGAAGCAAATAAAGCAGGATAAGGTAACTGAGTGTCACTAGGAAGGACAAAAAAGACAATCTCAATGGGGTATTGGCAGCATACTGGGTGATCCATGAACCTCCACTCTCCAATCCATGAATCACTCAAGCAAGTCCGCAGAAGATACTTTGCTGAGCAGCGGAGTCGAACACCCACATATCCTCCTCAGAAGGAATGATCCACACCTTCACCTTGTTCCTGTCCATCTATATAAATAAAGGAAGAACAATACAAGACAACACAAACAAAGGGGTGAGTTCTCCAAACACAAACATCAATCATGAGCCATACCCCAAGGAAGGCGGCGTCACAGTCACAATTTAATCCAACAATCAACATTCAACATCATCAAATATTCAATAATATAGTAGGGTGATAAATAATATTCATAATCATTCTCATCTTCACAATTACTCAATCATCCCTAATAGTGATGCACATGATGCATGAATGCAGGTTTCGATCTCACCTATATAGCCACTCATGTGTCAATAGCATGCAAATGATGCATGGGGATCCCATTCCTCTATGACTAGCGACTTGCCCAGTTTTTAGTATAGAGATAGATAGATAGATTCAAGTCGTATGGCGATTAGAGGACTTCATTCCCTACTCTACACAGTGATATCATAGATAGAAATAGAATAATAGCACATCAGTCGATGTGTAGTGTCATTCGGCATGTTCAGGAATGGACCTCGACGACCCTAGTGTTATGGAGTTCACGTCAGGTTTGGCTAAGGTTTTGCAAGTGGGTCACGACCCGACTTCAGGGAGCTCAGCTGCCATGTGCCACTTAGGTCGGATGTTCCCCCTTTCGCCACCCCCCGAAGGTCTACTTTGGACCAAACTTCCAATACCCACAGTTGTGCCTCTGTTATGCCATCAAGTCGTTTCACAAGATAATATGATGCATGAAGTAGCCTTTTCATTTTTCTTGTGATAGTTTTCTCAACTCATTTCATTTAGCCGATTGGGGCTATTGCACAGTAATAATAGAAGGCATTATGGGCTTAGAATCATAGCATATAGCATAGAGCTAGACGTCATTATAGACTTAGCAACATGGATAGATAATCTCCATGAGTCATATGTCGTAGCATGGATAGATAGATTCCATGAGTTTCATAATAATCCTCAATGAGTTCATAATAGTTTCAAGATAGTATATTTCAGGAACTCAAGGCATAACATGAATCTCTCATCATAATTTCATAATCTCATGGTTTTATAAGTTCACCCTCATGGATAATTTTAGTGCAGCATATAATATATTGGACCATAGCTCAGGAAAATCCCTCAAGCCTTTATAATTCTTTTCCTTATTCTCAATTTACTCTCTTTCTTTCATTTTTCAAGTCTAGTCTCTCTCGAGATTTAGTACAATCCCATTTCTCAATCCTTGCAATCTCGTCATTCAAGTTTCTCCTAACCATTACATTTATTTCCATCAATCTCTAACACCTTCTAAACTATAAATCATTCAACTCAAACTTTTGTTCTCTTGATTTCTTCCTCTCAGTTTTTCTCTCCATAAAAGAACAAATCATCAAACTTAATTCCTCTCTAAACCATCAATTAAACAAGTTGATTCACAATAATCTAAGGGTGTTACCTCTCAGTTTTTCACTCTTCATTAGGTTATCTCAATCAAGCTTAAGTACTCTTTGTCACACCAATTAATTCAATCTATTTCACAACAATCTAAGTACTTTCCTCTCATTTGTCACATTTTTCTTGCATTATTACTTGCTGATTTTTCATTCTCAATACTCAACCACTCACAAGACAACTAGATCATAAAACTTCTAGTAATCCCAATCATATTCATGGTCCGTCTCCATCATACAGCCCTCAAGGGCACTAGATCATCAAGATCACACTATAATATAATCATTTTCGCTGCACATTACCATATTCATCAATTCTTTCATAAAGGTATGCAAATGATGCATGTGATGCTCTCAAATAGTGATTCCATAGCATAATTCATAATGAATAGTAAGCAACCCAAGTTTTCAGCCAAGCATCACTTCAAACATACCTCACGGTTTTCTAAGAACAATTATCAAGAATGAATAGTACTTTATCTCACATCATTCACATTTTTCCAGCAATTTACCCAAGTAATTTTCATAAATTTCAAATATCATAACATGGTAAAATCAAGACATGCACTTACTTTCATCTAAGGTCAATCATATAAGTTTGCAAGCAACAATCAACCTTTCACACAAGCATAGTCCAGCACGGTTCAATCAAATCCAGCCAAGGTAAGGCACTTTTCAATTTCATTTTAGCCTCCTTACACAAAACAAGGCATGCAAGGTGTATTTCAAACTTTTATAGTGTTTTATATGTCCAAAATCGAGGTTGTCCACTAGAATTAGCCTTTCCTTTTGTGTAATCCATTTTTGAAGTTTATACCAACCTTTTCCAAATAGTTTCAAGACTTCAAAATACAAAAGTTCAAGCCTTTCTCTTAAAAATCAAAATTGTCCAACATCATAGTTCATTTATTCACCAAGGTTCAAAGCATGCAAAATAAAGAAACCAACATGCAATGGCATAGCTCCATCATCCAAGTGCAGAACTTTTATTTTCAGCAAGGGATTATGCTTAAAAAGACCAAACTGAGGCAATACAAGGTGGTTTCAGCACTCAACCATTTAGTTTTCCAAAGATCTTGAAAGTAACTTGTTTCAAGAATGATTAAGCTTTAGAACAAGGAATCCGAAACATGTAAAGGTAGGAAATTAACATGAAACACCTTGTCTTACCATCCAAATACAAGATCTTTGGTTAGAAATGAAGATCAAGCTAAACAAATGGAAAACTGAAACACACAAGAGTTGATATCTACATGCAAGTGAAGGAATTTATCATGTAAGCTCACGGTTCCATGGTTCTAAAGGGCAGATCATTATTTGAACAAGAAATCCAACAAAACAAGTGCAAAACCAAGACATGCACAAGAAGGAATCGACATGCAAGTAGTGAAATTGCAAACTTTTTGAGGAATCACTTCATCCAAGCATAAAACTGAAAGTTTAGCAGTAGTAAAAGTGAAGAAATCAAGTGGAACTCAATATGCAAGTGGTAAAATCATCTTATCCAAAAATATTGAAGATAAAAATGAAATTTTTCCAAAGATTTTTCACAAATCCAACCAAAGGAAAGCAAGGTAAGGATGAAAGGTGAGAACTCCCCCTTGCCTTTGAGCTTTGAGACGTGAAATAGAAGAGATGAGGGCTGGAAATGGTAGATCTCCGAAGATGCTTGCTGGACCGAGAAAACAACACCAAGGATATTCAAGTTCCTCCTCCAAGGTGAGCTCTTTCAACACGAAATTTGGAGGAGAGGTGGAGGAAGATGTTGGTGAGGTAGAGATGGTGTGTTTGTATGGAGCTTCTCGGTTTTCTTGAGAGAGTTTGAGAGAGTGTGAAAGGTTTTGAGAGAATGGAGAATGAGAAATGAGAACGCAAGTGGAGAGAATGAGAGAGAGTTTTCGGATTTTGGGTAGTAAAATGAGCAAATGGGTTAGTTTGCCAATTTATATGGAGGTTCCAAGGCTTGAGTGACCAATTGCCACTATACACCTCACAGTTGGCTTATTTGGCAAGGCTTCTAAGTCCAAAACTGCACACGGCTCAAATGGTGTAAAATTGAAGGGAATTTGGGGAAAATTTGGATAAGGAGGGGTATCATGGTTTTTAAGTAGGAATAGTGAATTTTAGGGAAACTTGCAAGCAAAGTTTACACATTTTAGCAAGCTAAATGTATGAAATGGTGTAGGGCTGCATGCACACAGTTTTGATACCATAATTCTCAAAAATTGGCACAAAATTCCAGAGACAAGATTTTGGGCAGCATTTGCATGTAATTTGATTGGCCGAAAAAGAATGTGACATGACTAGGTTGACAAGTGGACGAGACATTTGACATGGTGCTAAATTCAAGAAAAGGTAATTGATTAATGCAATCATGGTGTCGGCATTTTGGAAGACAAGAAAAGCATATTCCAAAATGATTATGTCTGCAAATCGGGAAACAAAATCTTCTTTCATGAAATTTTAGTGGCCGATACTAAATTTTGGAAGATTCGGGTAATTACGATGTTGGTAATTTAGGGGACAAGGTCATGTTGCATGAAAATCTAGTGGC